ACACGATGTCCAACATCCCCGTCTAGCTCCCCATCAGCCTGGATTACCGAGCCAAGATATCGAAACCTGTCTACTATACCTTAGGTACTAGGTGAGAGTCAATCCTAACTTCCACTTATCACGTTATCATCATCATCTCGTTATCTTAATGAATGTTTTAAGATAAAAAAAGTATTACTCCCTCCGTTCCACAAAACTCTTCCTCTTTCGTTTTTTTTTCTTTCCACAAAACACTTCCACTTTCTATTAAAAAACCACTTTTACCCCTACTTTTTCATACTCTGCCTATCACATCATACTTTTTCACTAATAACCAAACTATCACATCTTACTTTTTCCCATCACATCAAGGACAAAATTGGAAAGTCAACCAAAATTACACTTTCCTTATTTTTTCCCAAAGTCAAAATCGGAAGGGTTTTGTGGAACGGAAGGAGTATTATTTTTCAAATACAAAAAATTACTTTTGCAATAAAAATAATTGTAGTATAAAGTTAGCATAAATATCAAAATGTTAAATTTTAAAAAGTTTTTGTGGTTACAATGCACCTCAATTTATTTATGCAGTATTTATTATAAAGAATATATTTGTAATTATACTTTATATATTACAAGATTTTGTTTTAAATATTAGACGTGTCACATAATGTAATCAAACCTATTTTTTCATGATTGACATAGATTTTTTTTACATTTTTTTATGTTTTACTCCTATTTTACTCTTTTTCTCTAAACTATTTTGACTTTCAATTTTTTTTATAAAAATTAAAAAAATGAGAAAATTTTGAGTAATAAAATGGAAAGGCGAGAGATCTTATATAAAGCTAGATTAATAAAACATTCTATGTAACTATTTTATCCATAATTTTTTAATAGAATTTAAAATATTGATGTTTTCCTGTTTTATCGTGTAGATTAATATACAAAAAAATGTCTTATTCATATTAAAAAGTTGAAGAAAAAATAATGAGTGTGAATTGTAAAAATAATGAGATGAAAAAAATAATTTATAAACTGTAGTTAAGAACACAACAGTTGTAATAATAATAATAATAATAATAATAATAATAATAATAATAATAATAATAATAAAAAAAAAAAGAATCACATTAAAAATATATCTAATTTTTTAGAGTAATTGGTTGTAGAGTAGAGAGAGTTTGAAGAAAATGAAAATAGTTGGAAGGAACTGGAAGAAACTGGAAAAAACTAGAAGAAACTAGAAAGAACTAGAAAAAACTGGAAGGAACTGAAGGAAACTGAAAGTTAAAAGTTTAAGCCCTAAAAAGTATGCTCTTAGTATCTCTCTTTTGAACACTAGTTTTGCGCATTAGTGGTTTTAAGCCTCTTTTTTTAAAGCAAACAAAATAAAAATGCTCTACCAGCTCTTTCTCGAACACTAGTTTTCGTGCTTTGACATTTATCAATTTATTGTAATTATTTTTATCACTGACGCCACACATTCACATTCTTGAGGGCAGTGGGTATACTCTTCACGCCCACCGGCATTATGCCGTTTTTCACGCCTCGGGGGCGTTAAGCACCGCCCCCCTCCGGCGTTACTTGGGTGTTATGGCACCTGCGTCATTCGTTTGATGCGGCATTGCTTCGGAATTTCAGCCGTCCCCCCTCCCCCTTTTCAAACGGCTATATAGCCATTACCCCCTCCCCCCAATTAAAAAAATTCTAAATTTAAAAAAAACCCTACAAAATCCTACTTTCTCTCACACATCTCTCTCTATATTCTCTCTAAAATATTTATTATTTATTATAAATATTTATAAAATATATTTTAAAAATGGGTTCATCTTCATCCGACGATGAAAAAAGAGCTCTCCTTTTTCGTTGTTTCGCCACGCGTTGTATTCAATGGTGAGAAGAAGGCCAAGAAGAAGAACCTGAATCCTCCCGACGACGGACCCGACGACAACGTTTAAACCGGGATCGAGCGGCTGCCCACGCTTCACTTCTAAACGACTACTTTAATAATCCGTGTGTTTATACACTGGAGGATTTTAGTAATCGTTTTCGGATGAGTCGTCCTCTCTTTTTACGCATACTCGCCGATGTTGAACGCGAGGTTCCTTGATTCACCCAACGGTTTGATGCGAGAGGCCGACGCGGGTTTAGTAGCGTCCAGAAGTGCACTACCGCGTTCCGTCAGTTGGCGTACGGGACGACATCTAATATGTTCGACGAATACTTGAAGATGTCGGCTCGGAGCATCAGGTCGTGTGTTTATAAATTTTCAAAAGCTATTATTCAAACTTATCATAAAAGATATTTACGCAAGTCTACAATGAGCAACATCCAGCAGTTGCATGCAAGGCATGCCGCTAAACACGGATTTGTCGGCATGCTTGGGAGTATTGATTGCACGCATTGGGAATGGAAAAATTGTCCCACTGCGTGGCACGGTCAATTTTCCCGGGGAGATCATCCCAAACCTACCATCATGCTCGAAGCTGTTGCTTCGAATGACTTGTGGATTTGGCATGCTTTTTTCGGTGTCGCGGGCTCGAACAACGACATCAACGTTCTCGATCAATCGCCTGTCTTTGACGATTGGGTTAATGGGACCACACCAGACTCCTCTTTTGAGCTTAGAGGGACGCTTTACAAGCGTGGATATTATTTGGCCAATGGAATATACGGAGTATCCAGATTATTCCACAATTGTCAAATCCCTCTCCGAACCAATGAGTCTTAAACGCCAGACCTACAAAAATGCTCAAGATGCGGCGAGAAAAGATATTGAACGAGCCTTTGGGGTCTTGAAGAGTAAATGACACATTCTAGATCGTCCGTCGAAATGTTATTATCAAACAAAAATGAGGAATATCATGTACGCATGTATTATTCTTCATAATATGATCATAGAGGATAACGGAACTGCGATTTGTCAATACAACCCGGACGAGAAGGTACCTATGTACGAAGAAATCACCAAAGAAAAGAAACGAAGAAACCGCCAAGAAATTCGAAGCCGAGAGATTCACAATGCACTAACGGCGGATTTGATCGAACATATCTTTAGTCGCTCGAATAATTAGTGATTTCTTTGTAGTGTTGTTTTTTTTTGTAATATTTTTTTAATGAATGTAATTTTTTTATGAATTTATTTTTTATGAATGTCATTTTTTTTAATGAATGTAATTTTTTTAATGAATGTAAATGTAAATTTTTTTAATGAATGTAATTTTTTTAATGCACTATTCTCATTGCGATTAATTTAAATAATAAATTAATTTAAATTTATGAATTTAAATTTAAAAGATGCATATTTAAAAATGTAAAAAATGAAGGTTTGAAGCAATAGTTTGAAGCCCCGGGGCTTCAAACCCGTTTCCAGTGAATTTTTGGTGTAAGTTAAAGCTGACGTGACAGAGAGAGAAAGTTTGAAGCCCCGGGGTTTCATACGTATTTCCAGTGCTCTGAGAACATTGTCAATATCTTCTTTTTTTACTCCATACATTGCAGCTCTACTAGCTCTACTTCATTAAAATTTTATTCAATGCACTAACGCTAATAAAAAATATTCCCAAATGGAGTATACATAACAATTACTCTATAGTTGTCTCTGTTATAGAAGAAAATTATTTTTTTGTCAGGGTGTTGTCATGTGCAAATTTTGTTAGAAAGATAAATAAAAGCAAATGCCAACGACACCGTGACAAAGGAAAAACATAAAAAAATAAGTTTCTCATAGTTTGTCACGGTTTTAAACGTCGTTGTTTTGTCACAACCACATCTGAGACAAAGAATACATTTTTGCTGCACAGAATTTCGTGACAAACATCGTCACGGTGCTATCCGTGACAAATAGACTATTTCTTTTTTGTAATAATTTTTTAAAGAATAAGTCTAAAATAAAAATAGTGCTACTGATGTCATTTGTTTACATCAATTCATTTGGAGAACCTATGGTGCCCTATTCGTAAAAATGATGGTTCTTACCCCCTAACCCTTCCTCTAAACCCCCTCCCCCACCCCCTCCCTATCCTGGCAGGTTAGAGAGGGTCCCCTCCCTATCCTGGCAGGTTAGAGAGGGTAGGGGTGAGCATCGGTTCGGTTCAGCCGGTTTCGGCCCAAAACCGAAATAACCAAAAATTAAAAGTACTCGTAATTTCCGACCGAACTGAACCGAATTAAAGCGAGAACCGAACAAACCGAACCAACAAAAAACCGACCGGTTCGGTCGGTTTGAAAAAACCGAATTTTTCATCCTAGAAACCTACTGCCTACTGCCAAATGCAAATATTGAAAAATGAAATTTGAAAAAACTTCAAATTCAATTAGCCATGGCTAATTAGCATCTCAAAGAATTCAATTAGTCGAGGCTAATTAGCATCAATAATTCAATTATTATGATCAATTACTGGTGACTACCTTTTGATGATCGTCGGCCATGGCTAATAATGCATCTCAAAGAATAATAATTAGCAACAAAAAAGAATGAAGAAACCCGATGATTGCCGATTGGTGACGCCGGAACAGAGATGGTGATTGCCGGTGAGGACCGAGAACGACACTATAGATTTGGGACTTGCTGGCTGCGGCTGACTTGGGAAATTGGGAGATGGATTGGGAATTGGGTTAGGAATTGGGTTTTTTTAAGTGGGCTATACCTTAAAAGATTTGGTATGGGCTTACATGTATTCAATACACATATTATGGGCTCGGTTATTCGGTCGGTTTCGGTTAACATTGCCCAGAACCGAAACCGATAACCGAATTAACCGAAAAATTTTAGACATTAAAACTGAAAACCGAAACCGAATTTAAAATTACGGTCGGTTCGGTTAAATTGTATCGGTTAATCGATCAGTTCAGTTAAATTGCTCACCCCTAAGGGAGGAGGCGGGAGGGAAGGCTAGGGGGCAAGGATGGGAGTTTAGGAGGAGGGGTAGGAATCATCATTTTTACGAATGGGCATCGTAGGTGCCTCTAACGAACTCAAGTAAGTAATTGGTATATAAGTTACTAGTGTCATTTTAGCAAAATATACATTCGCTTTCTTCTGAATAGAATCCAATTCAACAATTTCTTTTACCTACATACTCCATACAATTTTTTTACAAATGCAATAGCAAAAGTAGGCACAAAACATCTCTTTCTTTTCTTGGCTTCACTTTGTACAAATTCATTCTACAAAGTGAAATCCACCTTTGTAGTTTAACATGAAATCCACCTTTCATCTTAAGGAGAAGAGACGTTGCGTACGGCGGGTTCACAATCCTCTCAGGAATCCCACCACCGTCACGAGCAATCACCTTAAACTCATACACAAAGGCAGCAGCAATGGATTTCATCTGCACAAAAGCCATCTCTTTGCCCAAGCACATTCTTGGCCCACAATGGAACACTGGAAACTTGAACGGATCGCATTGCTTGAAATCCACATTATACTCTCCCAACCATCTCTCTGGCTTGAACTCCCGGGAATCGGGGCCCCACAGCCTCTCCATCCTCCCCATTGCGTAGGCCGAGTAATCCGCGTGCCACCCTTTGTACACTGATGTCCCGTCGCTCAAAGTGTCATTGGACAAAACTAACCTTGAGTTGATTGGAACCGGTGGAAACAAGCGCAGTGTTTCTGATAGTGCTGCTTGTAGGTAGCGAAGCTTCTTTAGCTCGTCGTAGTTGAGCCTCGCGGGGCCATTTTCTGGAGATTCAGCGATGGCTGATGATAATTCATCGTAAATCAATCGCTCGACTCGAGGGTGACCGGCAACCAACCAGAAAAACCATGTCAATGCTGATGAGGTTGAGTCTTTACCTGCCAAATCAGAGTTGAAATTAAGCATAGGTACCAAATTAGCAAAACAACATTGATACATGTCAAAGAACCAACTCAACAAAAAACTCAAGCTTGTGGTTGTAAGCGGTAGGAAAGGTTTTATACTCTAAGACCTGTTTTTGCTCAAGCCTTGTACATAAAATTAACTTTTTCTTAGTTGGGTGGAGATAAGGTTTGAACTCGTGAGCTCTAGTCAGCAAGGCTATGATACCGTGTTAAAGAGCAACTCAACAAAAAAAACTCAAACTCGTGGTTGTAGGCCCAAGAAAGGTTTTATACACTAACAATATACTTTTGGATCATATTTTGGCAAAGTAAAATTGGAATGTGACAGTAACCAAAAACAATTACTCGTAGATGCTTGATGCGTACACTTTTTTAGATTTTTTTAAAGTTTTAATTTTGCAATTTTCCCCTACTAGTGAAAAAAATAGAACTGCATGCCTGCAAGTATGAAGTTGATGACAATATCTCTCAAAAAATTTGTCTTTTCTTCTTGATCATGAAACTTATAATCAGAAACCGAGTCCAAGAACCTCGTTAACAAGTCCTGCTTGATTTCCAGCCCCTTTCCCACATCGTTCTCTATTTTCTCCTCTTTGGTTTTCAATATGTTCATGGCATAGTCTTTTACCACTTCAATGGCTTCTTTGTATCTTTTCTCACTCCCAATGTTTAAAAACCTCTTGATCTTCCAGATTGCAGGCAATGGAGATAACAACCTGTCTGAACTTACCTTAACAGCATAATCAAATGCACGAGCGAATGACAAATACACATCTTTTTCATCAGTCCTGTTTAAGTCAACGCCGAAAGCCACATTGCATATATTATCAAATGTGAACTTCTGGAGCACATCTTGCAGATTTATGGCTTCTCCATTATCACAAGCCATGGCCATGTACGGCATCAAGCTGTTAGAAAGCTGGGATTGCACGGTCTCTCTGATAAATTGTTTGAGTGATCTGGTATTGAACTCATGGCTTGCGATTTTGCGCTGACCGGACCAAAGTTCACCATCGGCATTGAAGATTCCATTACCAAGAATTTCTTGGAGGGCAGAATTGAACCGGGTGCCCTTCACATAGTTAGGGAAGTTAGTGCGGAGAAAATGGTCAAGGTTTTCTGGGTTGGCAGTGCAGATGCCTCGGGAGAGGCCAAAGACGGTTTTAACCTCAAGGGTAAGAGATGGGGTTGTGGACAGCATGTCTGCAACCCAGTCATGGAACCGGTGATGGTTCCGAAGGAAACCTATGAGATTTCCAATTATAGGGTATGATTGTGGGCATGGAGCATTGCTGGAAGGACACAAGTAGGAGTAGACCATAAAGTATAACAATGGGAGGGCTGCGATAATGATGCTGGTCAAGAAGGGAAAAGCCATGTCCACATTCCACATACCTATCAAGAAACAGACTGAAATGGTACTGATTCCTACAAGAAAAACATAACTCATTTTCAATTCTAGAGCAAACCAATTAACAACAAGCAAAACCCATTATGATAGAACTTAGGATGGGGTAAGGGTCACTAGACCGAGGCATATAAGACACTTGAGCTGAACCACATTAAAAGATGAAATCCAATCAATTACTAGTTACACTCAAAAGCTTATAAACCCATTTTTTTTCTTTACATTATTTATTTGAACATTAAAAATGTAAAAAAAGGACTCTTTAATTAGATCTATCACCCTTTTGTGCAATAGAGATGTATCCAGAATGATGCTTCCTGTTAAGCTCACGGAAAAGTAACTGCATCTCAATAACCAAATCAAAACAGATTTAAAAAAACATAACTTTAATCAATATTTAAGTTCACAACATAGGACCCATAATTTCAATCAATCCAAAATCATAGTCTTGAATTTGAAAAAGAACATATCTTGCAATTTAAAACTCTGCAATCCAAAAACCCACAGATTATCATCCCACTAATGATTATGTGACACCATTAAAGAAACATAGTACTCCTGCTGTCGGTTTTAATTGTACACTTTCCAGAAGATCTCAAATTCAAGTTCAAAAGCTCAATACTTCTCAAGGTATGACTGGGAAATTTCTGAAAAAGAAGTACCTGGAGTTCTTGAGTGGCTCAGCTAAAGCCAGCTAAAAGGATAGACGCACTAGAAACAGAACCCAGGCTGGGATTATGGATTTGGGGATTTTGGGGAATTTCCATCTGATTTTTATTTACTTTCAATTTTGACCCCAGAATTTTGGAATTCTTTTCGGGCTGGAATTCGAAATACTCACGAGACTGAAGAATTACGGTTGCGGGTGCAAAGTAGAAACGAAAAGATGTGGGTAGTGGGTGTTAATCCACTCCCGGCGGCGGGTAAATTTCGTCTGCATGTAAAACTGAAAACTTTTAGATGCCCTAGTTTTGACAATCTCCAGTGCATGCTTCACTATTTTATTTGGTTATTAATCTTTTTCCCCATTTTGGATTAACTTTTTTTGTTATAACAGTTAAACACAAAAAAACAATTCATTTAAAAATTGAGATAATATGCTAGCTTGGGGTCGCACGATCTTGATAGATTTGGATACGTATTATCACGACCTTATGTCCTTATCGTTATTGTTTTGCATCAAACCAGTGATAATACAAGCTGGACAGTTTCTATAAACTAGATTCATACCGTGCGATGCACGGTCATAAAATTTTTTAAATTTATTTATTTTGTAATTAAAATTAATTGTTGAAAACGTTAACATATAGATTTTCACTGCACTTGAACATAAGAATAATATTTCAATTTGAATATCTATATATTTTAATCTCACCACTATAAGAATATTAAAATTGGTGAATGTTGATGCAAATAGAGTTAGGCTCCGTTGCGTTTAACTTATTTTTTCTAATTTGATCTGATTTTTTTGTAGTTCTGATCTAATCTGGTCTGATCTGATTGGATCCGATCTGATCTGGTCTGATATGATCTGGTTAATTATGATTTGATTTAAAATTCAAATCAATAATTTGATTTAAAATTCAAAATCAATAATTTGATTTTGATTTTATAATAACAATTGAAAATTGTAATGACAATTCATATTATAATATAATCGATTTTTTTTTATTTTATGATTATTTTTTAATTTAATAAAATTAGTTAATTCATATATTGGAATAATCATTCATATTATAATGTAATAATATTTTCTTTCATGATTATTTTTTATGAAATAAGAATAATGATTTAACATTTTAATAATTAGTTCATATATATATTAGAATAAATATTTAATTCATATATACATTAAAAAGTAATTAAATTTAAATGATCAATATAAAGAAGATATAATGTTTTTATTAAAATATCTCATCCTTATAAATCATCAACGTTTGCTTTGTACTACGAAAATTTTTTATGATTAATATAACATCATAGATATAATACTTATTTTAGTCACACTAAAATATACTCGGTATAGTATATGAATATCAAATGTTAATTTTATTTAAGTCATGATCAAAGTTGATCAACTCGATGTATCAAAAATTATCCGACTTAAGAATAAACACATTTTATTTAAAAAATATTTCAAATTTTAGTTTTAGGTTGCCCAATGCATTTTATGTAAGGAATTTAAAAATCACTCCAAGTATATGGTTGTGATTTTTGCAGTAAATGTTGACAAAGTGATTTTTTATTCGTTATAAGTAGCTAATATTTATAATACTATTTGTCACAATATAATATATATACTTTGCCGTTCTAAAAAAAGGTTCATAATTTGATCAAATATAAAAATAAGAAAGTGTAAAATTGTAGTTGACTACCAAATTTTTTCTTGATGTGATAGGTAAAAGTAAAATGTTATGGACTTATGGATAGATAATTAGAGAAAAAAAATGATGTGATAGGTAGGGTATGAAAAAGTAAGGGTAAAAATAATTTTTTAACATAAAGAGAAAGTGCTTTGTTGGAGATGGAAAAAATGAAAAAGAAAGCATTTTTGAGAACAGATGAAGTAATAAAGTAAATATTTTACATAAGAAATTATTTTAAGGAAATAATACGTTCAACTTTGAAGTTTTATTAATATAAAATTGTGTAGTTCCGGCACTTAAAAAAGGAGGTTTATCTAAATAGTACTAAAACATAATTACTTTCTCTAAATAGAATCATATGTGTTTCTTTCCAATATACCACTTTTAGTTATTTTCCATTAGTCATTATTCAAGTAAATGTTCGTTATCACTGGTTATTATTTTCTCCTTCTGGACATTATTAAGTAATATTTAGGAAATAAAACAATTTAAGTATTATTTAGGAAAATGACTTAAGTTTAGTGTTATTTAACAAATATTTCTTTGTGATTTTCGTCCCAAACTTTTTCGTTTTTTATTACAACTGCAAGGCCTCATTTATATTCTGGACACTTATGAATGTAATTATCCCTTTGTTCTCTAGCTATGAGCTAATAGCTATACACGGGATAATTTTAATCAACGTGCCTATGTCTGTTCTGTGAACATACAGGTAACCTCTATTATTTTTCATTTTTGTGCAATTCACTACATATCATTATTAATTCATTCTCTATAATTTGTGCAATTTATATATACTCCCTCCATTTCTTAAAACCTTTCCTTTTTCATTTTTTTTGTTTTTCTCAAAAGACTTCTCCTTTCTATTAAAAAACCACTTTTACCCATATTTTTTCATACCATACCTATCACATCATACTTTTTCACAAACAACTAAACTATCACATCTTACTTTTACCTATCACATCAAGGGCAAAATTGGAAAGTCAACTACAATTTAACACTTCCTTATTTTCCTCCAAAGTCAAAAGAGGAACTCTTTTGAGAAACGGAGGTAGTAGATCCTAATAATGAAAATCTTTTGTATATACGTATGGAGTGATCACCGATTTTAAGATTAGTTCAAACTTCAAAGCTTCTAAGGTAATTTTTGGTATGACTATTGTGGCTACATCTAACCCATAATAGATCTTGTTTAAGAACATCAAAAAATTTAATCCCTCCAAATTAACTAGTAATCTACATGTACCGATTTTAAGATTCGTTCAAACTTCAAATACATGTTGAAACTTCAAACCAGTAATTAAGGATCTTACTATATCATTGATCATTAGTTTTAATGGTTGTGTAGGTACTACGAACTCATGAACTTAGTAATACGTGCATCTATCTCCATCAACTAAAAACATTCAAGTACCGAGTGCATGTTTTTTATACATCACCATATAAAGTACATTGTATGAATTGCTATGTACTACATACATTGCATAAATCTCTCCCACTCTGAGAACCTAAGTACGGAGTACATGTTTTTTTTTTTTGGATAAAGCCGAGTAATGGGAAAATGCACTGTATATTCCTGCCACCTCTATCTCAATTATAAGTTCATAGAATGTTAAAAGAAGCACTTAAAATGATTTTTTTACAATGATATTGATAATCATTATGATAAGGAAAAATAATGAGATCTTATTATGCTACACAATTGTGAGGCATGGCAGAGTTAGTGCACTGCTTACATTTTTAATTCTTACGATGTGTTTCCTAATACCAAATTAGGGTTAAATATTGAGAAACTTACTTAAATACGTCCTCCGTCCGGAAATATTCCTCCCATTTGATTTTTCATGATCTCTAATATTGCACTTTGATCATTAATATATATATTTTATAAAAATTTGATATTTGAAAACTACGTTTCATTATGAATATATATTCATATTAAATTCACATCATAATACAATGTGTTTCTTCCACAAATCATAGTCGAAGTTTACAAACTTTGACCAAGAAAAGTCAAATGTGAAGAATATTTCTTAAACATAATAAATTTTCCTAAATAACATCATCTGTGTTTTATTTCTCAATGTAGCAATTTTAGTAATTATCCGGCCATTAGTCATTATTCAACTAAATGTTCGTCATCACTGGACATTATTCCTCTTTATGGACATTATTAAGTGCGTTTTAGGGAATAAAACATTTTAAGTGATATTTAGGAAAATCACTTAAGTTTTAGTGCTATTTAGTTCAAAATTTTTTAAATACTTAGCATTAAAGAATTATTTGAAATTTTGAATACCTTAACAGAGTGAATCCAGAAGGCTTCCAACTAATACCTTAACAGAGTGTAACAAATAATGAGAACATGCATGCTTAAATGTTGTAAGTGTTTATTAAAGCATACAAAACTTTAAATTTGTACTTGCTTATAGACAATACTATTTGGAGTGGAAATAGAAAATGTCTAAAATAATACTCCGTATTAATAATTTAATATCATTACAGTGGAATTATTTCAACCATGCCATATGAATGAGAATGAACCTTCAAGTAAAAACTTTTATAGGTCAAGGACACATCCTTTTAAAAATTGTCAATTGTTCTTTTGCAAATGGCATTATTTTTTGCTGTAGAATTAGTGATATTTATAGGTCAAGCAGAAAAGTATCGAATAAGATTTAAAAGGTTCAATGCATGTAATAAGTAATAACGGCCCGATTCGGTGGCCACTGCCCCCCTACGGAGCTATGTTCGTAAAATTGATGATTTCTACCCCTAACCCCCCGATAAACACCCCCCCGCCAAGTCCCGACCCCAAATCATCCTCCCACCTACGTCAATTGCACACTGTAAGTATAATTGACTTTAAAGTCAAAAAATTTGAATCCAAAGTCATCTAAACTTGCACCCGCAATTGACGTAGTTAGGGGGGATGAGTTGGGATCGGGACCGGGTAGGGGGTTTACCGGGGGATTAAAGGGGGTAGGAACTATCAATTTTGCGAACGGAGCATCGTAGGTATCCCAATTAGGTGAGTGGCTATAGAACCTAGCCGATGTAATAATACAAACATGGTAAAAAACATGATTCTCTACAATTCATACAACGAATACATAGATAAGAACATAAGCAATGGACACACAAAACAACTTATCATGTAAGTGCTGCATCTCTTTTCCACACTCATAGCACGCCACATCTTTGAAGAACTACTGGTTCAATCAAACTCGTCCAACAATGATTGCCTTATATCGTCATCGTCCACGAATCCTTGTTCTTTCATATCCTTCCCAGCGGTGTTTTGGCTCAGATCGTTTTTTTTATTTGAACCATTCTATGAAAAAAGAAAGTCTTTTTTCACAACATGTAATGTTAATACACCATCAGTCTTTGTGCAATGCTAATACAGCTAGCTTGGGATTGCACTGCAACAGGCAATGCATAAATATGGCTGGTGTGAAATGCAGACAAATAAATGCAAAGGAAATAAAATGCGGAGGAAATAGAATTGGAATGCAAAGTGAATCCGCATAAATGTGGATACAAAGGGCTGCTATATATAGTGCAGGAACTGCCATTGATGGTATATTTGTGAAAGGAATTCCGAAAGATGGCTTAGAGATAAATTGATGATGAGGTATAGCAATACAAAGCAAATAAGGAAGGTAAAGCAAGGGTGAAGGATTTGAAATGGCTGAATGAAATGGATATGGATTGCCCAAATTTTATACTGATAGGATGGAAGCCCATTATTGAGTTCTATTATCGCCACCTATAGTGTTTTGTCTTAACGTGTCAAAGAAAAGGCGGGAAACAACATATACCATTTTATTTTCTTTTTATATAGAGTAGGATATTTCGTAACTAGACGAATAAAAAAAAGAGTGTATAAATTATTCAGCTTTTGATTACTTCGTTATCCTTCTCTTTTCAAAACAAACTTCGTTCCCCTCCGTAAAGGATAATCACTAATCATTAACTACATTTAATATATTACCTTACTTATTGTGATTCTTATTCTAAAGGAGTAAATGGCGTGTAACTCCCCTAGGACTTAGGCTATTATTGTGGAGTCATTAATACTATCTTGATTGTAGTTGACTATAAATATAACATCTGTAAATCATGTTTAGTAATGAAATAAGCCTTCTCTATATGGTATCAAAGCTGTAAAAGGTTTCTGTCTTCCTTTTTTTCGATCTTTTTTCCGCTGCCCTGCTCTCCTCATGGCGTCAAATATCCCTTCCTCCTCTGCAATCACCAAAGACACTACAGCGATTCAACTTCATTCCAAAACCCATTTTCCAATCAAGTTGGCATCCACCAATTTCGTAATCTGGCAACGCCAGGTTCACTCGACTCTTATCGGCTTGGACCTACTTGGCTACATAGATGGTACCATGGTTGCTCCGCCCATGGCTATTTTCGGTTCCCCCAACCCGTGCTACTCTATCTGGTTCCGCCAGGATCAATCCATCGTTGGCGCGCTCCTGGCAGCTGTGATGATGTTGTTCAACCTCTCATATCCACTGCAGACACCGCACACGCTATATGGTTGAGCCTTCACACTGCGTTCGCCAGTGCGAGCCGCGGCCGGGTTGTCTCTCTAAAATCCAAACTAGGCAAAAATCCCGTGGTGATTGTCCAATGGTTGATTATTTGTTTGACATGCGCTCCATAGCGAATGAACTTGCTCTCATTCAAAACCCTATCTCTGAGGAAGATCATTCAGTCCATGTTTTAAATCAGGTTGGTGATGACTACGATTCCATATCCTCCGTTGCGTTACTTCGCCCCACGGCCATCTCTTTCACGGAGCTTGGGGATATTTTAACAGATCAAGAGCGCAAGCTTAAATCATCTGATGAGGCGAAATCAACCATTGTTGCAACAGCCAATTATACACAAAATCTTCGTGCTAGTCGCTCTCCTGCCCCTGTACCACATCGTGATGGTGGCAGCACTGTTTTCAATGGTCGGCGTGGGCGTAACACATGAGCTGGTGGCTCACGGCCTGCTCGACAACAATATGGGTGTCACTTTTGTGATATTCCGGGTCATGATGTGAAGGACTGTCGCAAACTTGGCAGGTTTCTACGTACGCATGGCATCTCGCCATCACCTGCAGTGCACAACACAATGGTGGCTGCACATCCTGGTCCTCAATGGTTGTTTGATAGTGGTGCTAGTCATCATACTACACCTACTACTTAGTCTCTTTAGTCCTTCTCTGATTACGGAGGTCTTGATGAGATCCGCTTGGGTAATGGTAATGGTCTCAAAATCACTCACACTGGTCATACCTCTATCTCCACCCCATCTCGTCCTCTTTCTTTATCTAATGTCTTAGGTGTTCCTAATCTCAATCGTAATCTTGTTTCTGTTTCTCAACTCTGTCAGTCTAATCAAGTTTCTGTTGAATTTTTGCCTTTCTCTTTTCATGTAAAGGATCTGAAAACGGGGGCCAAACTTCTCACCGGGGATAATATTCATGGCGTGTACTATGCTCGTCTGCCTAGGTTGCCACCACAAGTGTCTTTCCATGATCGAGGCTTTGTTTCAGACTTTCAGCACACCCTTGGTCACCCATCAAATAAAATTCTCCTTTCCATGTTACGCAATTGTAATAAATCTTTTTCTCTAAAAGATATCCAACAATTTCATTGTCCTTCTTGTTCCATCACTAAGAGTCATAAGCTTCCATTTTATGTGAATTCCTTTGTTAGTACTATGCCTCTTGAATTACTTTATTCAGATGTTTATTTGGTCGTGCAAAGAAACCTATGTTGATGGCTCTCTCTATTATGTTATTTTTGTGGATCACTTCACCAAATATATATGTATATATCCCTTAGCCCGTAAATCTGATGTTTTTAAATTTTTTCCTCATTTTAAAAATCTTGTGGAAATTTTTTTTAAACGGAAGATTGTTTCAATTTTCTCTGACAATGGGGGTGAATTCATTAAACTACATCCCTTGCTAAGTTTGTTTGGCATATCCCATTACACCACTCCCCCACACCCCTGAACATAATGGTACATCGGAGAGACGTTTATCGTCACATTGTTGAAACGGGTCTCTCTGTGCTTCATCATGCTCATATGCCTATCACTTATTGGTCATATGCCTTCCAAACAGCGGCCTATCTCATTAACTGTATGCCCACCTCACTTCTCCATGATTGTAGTCCTTATCAAGCCCTTTTTGGAGCTCCTTCTAATTGCCTCAAACTTCAACCGTTTGGTTGTCTATGCTATCCTTGGCTCCGTCCCTATACTCATAGCAAGCTTGAACCCCGCTCTACCCCGTGTCTTTTTGTAGGCTATTCCACCACTCAATCAGCCTACAAATGTCTTGACCTCTCCACTCACCGTGTGTATCTTTCCCGACATGTCTAATTCATCCCACATATATACCCTTTTTCCACCAAAAGTTCTTTAACTACCCAATCTCCATATGTTTCTCCTTTTCCTCACTATCCTCCTTCTTTTTCCAAACCAGTTTCTGAAGCACTCTCTTAGCCTAACCCTTCATCGGCATCTGCCACTAATAACCTGCCCTTATCCTCTATCATACCCTCACCCCCTCTCACGACAACGTTCAGTGGCATGACCCCTTCGCTCCCGACATCTTCTCTTGAGTCTCCTCCCTCGGCTGCAGCATCTTTCCCTACATTGCCCCCTCGCCTAGTTCGTATGCGGAGGCGTAACACAAAATATTTTTGTAATACCCCGTGTCAAGATGGGAATGGAAAGAGCTCAAAAGGATTGATAGTACTACTCATACCAACAAGGTGCATCTTCTTTTCGAGAGCTCATCACCTAGAAACTCCAAAGTTAAGCGTGCTTGACCTGGAGCAATTTTAGGATGGGTGACCCCCTGGGAAATTCCTTGGGCGCGCACGAGTGAGGACAAAGTGCGCGGGAAAGACTCGTGTTGGTTTGTGGGGCCAGTCTACAATCCTAGGAGCGAATACTTACGGCCAGGGTGGGGGCCCGGGGTGTTACAATTTTAACTCTGATTTTGTGTCTGGTCATCCCTCAGTCAACATTGTCACTAAACATCCCCTTCCTCTTATCCATGAGCCTAAAACTGTTACTCAAGCACTCAACGATACTCGTTGGAGAAATCCAATGGATGAAGAATATTAGGCCTTGATTCGAAATCAGACATGGGAGTTGGTCCCATGCCCAACTCAACAATCTATCAGTTGTAAGTGGGTATTCCGAATCAAACGAAAAGCAGATGGGACAATTGATCGCTATAAGGCTAGACTTGTTGCAAAAGGTTTTCTTCAGGAGGCGGGGCGTGACTATTTTGAGACTTTTAGCCCGGTGATGAAGCCGGTCACTATCTGGGAGCTTGTTCTTAGTATTGCTTTGGTTAATAAATGGCTGCTCAGGCAGCTTGATGTGAATAATGCGGTTTTGCATGGCAAGTTGAATGAACAGGTATTCATTGAACAACCACCTGGTTACGTTAGCCCCGAGTTTCCTAACCATGTTTGCAGGTTGTCTAAGGCCCTTTATGGTCTTAAGCAGGCTCCTCACGCCTGGTATGAGGTGCTTTCTCGCTTCCTCTTGGCCTCGGGTTTTGTGAAATCTCATTCAGACACGTCACTTTTCATTTATCATCGGGATGATATACTTGCTTATTTCTTGGTTTATGTGGATGACATATATAATACTTACTGGAAGCTCGCCTGTGTTTTTTACGCAATTTGTGCATGCCCTAGCTACTCAGTTTTCTTTAAAGGATTTGGGTTCGTTGAGTCATTTCTTGGGGGTTGAAGTTGTTCCTACCACGATGGGTCTCTTTTTGTCTCAATCGTAGTATATCTTGGATATTCTTGAAGATGCCTCCATGACTGGCGCAAAGGAAATTGGCACACCTATGGTTGCTGATGCTCTTTGCGTTCCCATGGCTACTACCAAAACTGTTGATACTACGGCTTATCGGCGTCTTCTTGGTCGCTTACAGTATCTCTCGTTGACTCGTCCAGATGTCTCATTTGCTGTCAATAAACTGGCACAAGTCATGCATGCCGCGACAGATACACATTGGTTGGCTCTCAAACGGGTTCTGCGCTATCTTAAGGGCACTCTATTTCATGGATTGTTCCTGTCTAGGCAGGTTCCGATGACTCTCACAGCCTTCTCTGATGCTGACTGGGGTGGCATCACCGAGGGAGGTCGTTCCACGACTGCTTATATACTTTATCTTGGGCCCAGCATTATATCTTGGAAGTCTATCCACCAGAAAAGTGTATCTTGTTCTTCTACAGAAACGGAATATCGTGCTCTGGCCAATGCAGCAGCCGAACTCTAGTGGGTTCAGAATCTCCTCTCCGAGCTTTGTATCTACTTAACAAAGGCTCCATTGCTACACTATGATAATTTGAGTGCTCTTCATGTTTGCAAAAACCCTGTTTTCCACTCTCGCACGAAGCACATTGCATTGGATTTCTTTTTGTTCGTGAATTGGTTGCTGCTGACAAGCTCCGCGTTTCTCATGTACTATCTGCGGATCAGATTGCTGATGTACTAACCAAGCCTCTCCCTCGTGCTTTGTTTACCAGGTTTCGTTCCAAGATTGGCGTATCTGACGGATCCTCCATCTTGCGGGGGCGTGTAAAGGATAATCACTAATCATTAACTACATTTAATATATTACCTTACTTATTGTGATTGTTATTCTAAAGGAGTAAATGGCGTGTAACTCCCCTAGGACTTAGGCTATTATTGTGGAGTCATTAATACTCTCTTGATTGTAGTTGACTATAAATATAACATCTGTAAATCATGTTTAGTAATGAAATAAGCCTTCTCTATACTTTCATGGTTTTCAAGTAATGCACCAATGCCCCTTCTCTCTGAGTCTCTGGTAAAATTGTGTATCTAAACAATGTGTACAACAAACACATTTAACATGCAAGTAAAAAAATTTAGTGTTTTTATTTTGAACTTGGATGGAAAGTGACCCTCGTTTAACATTTCTCATATATTTAACCTAGCATTATATTTCGTAGAGAATTATATTTATTTAAAGCTAGGATGCTTTCAAAAAAATATTTATTTGAAGAAAAAATGAAAATGGAAAAACAATGAAAAAATTTGAGAACTATAGTGTAACTATGGTTCACATAATTTATTTTCAAATACAATTTATGTGAAAAATTGTTAAAATATATAATATGAGGGTAGGTGTATTTGTCAAAACAAGTCAATTTGTTAAAAAATTATACTAAATCGTATAGCGGGGGTATTGGTCGCAATATATACCGTACAACCGGTAGTATGGTATTTTTCGTACATCCACGACAAGTGCTCATTTACGAGTAATTGAATGCTAATTTTCGAGCAAGTAAATACTCATTGTTATTGTTGAATAATTGAATACTCATTTTTCTAAAACTAAGATATGCTCGAAGATGAGCATTAAATAACTCAAAAATGAGTATTATGTTACTCGAAAATGAATACTTAGTTACTCGACAATGAGTATTTATGCGGATTTACAGGAAATACCATACATCTAGATGTATGGTATATGTACTCGTCATTGGTGTAGGATTTCAAAACGAAAAGAGGAATGAGATAAGTTTTGAAAGCATAGGAGGTATCGATGCAATAACTCATAAAAGTTCACACCAATAATTCCATATTTGACACAATATTACTTTGAGATTATATTTTGCAAGTCATTACACTAAAAAGTTAACATATTTACATTGCTACTCTAGCATGATTGAACCAGCTTCGGACTTAATTGCATAAAATTATTTTAGCTAACATGAAAATAGAAATAATGAGTTGGTAACAAATTGAATCAATAGAATGAGATTACACTTCATTTAGACTTTTTTGGGGGAACGGTAGAAGATAGCCGTAAAATCTTCATTGTAAACAGTTTGAGATAGCCGTTGTGAAATACTGGAGTAAATCCTATTGGCAAGGGTTGTTTGCCAAACTAGTGCGGTGCTTTGACGGAGTTTAAGAGACCAGAACTTAGTGGATTCAGAAATCCTTGAGGAGGAGTCTCGAGGTACTGGAGTAGGGAGTTCCCGAACAAGTATAAAATCGGTGTGCATTTTATTTACGCTTTTATTTCTGCGTTTTATATATTGCTTCCGCATTTACCAACACCGTTTTTGTTAAAACTCCAAAAAGCTTTCAAACACTTTATTCACCCCCCCTCTAAGGCGTAGGCACAACGTCTAAAACGACTAACACATGTATCAATATCTAATATAAATTTTTGACTTGTTAATTAAACAATATTGTAAAAATATTTTACAAGATAAATGTAATATGAAGTAATATTATACATATATCAATGTGTAATATAAATCTTGATTAATTAATGGTAAGTCTATCATTTTTAATGTAAAAAGTTAAAACTGAACATTTTTAATGAAGATAAGACATATGAGTTCTCATATCTTACATTTTAGTTTTCTAGATTTGATATCTCGAAAACTGGAATGTAACATTTTGAGATATTCTAAAATGACCAGATATCCATTCGGAGTTTGATACTTTTTTCAATCTTCCTTGCTACAATCACCATAACTGGTCACCCATTGCCAATAACTCCACTGTCGGTCACCCATTGCATGTTACTAATAACCATCGTTTAAAATTTCTTCGAATATTTTGATGTTAGATTTCAGAACTCTTATGATGTAACCATCCAAAACATATTAATGTCCCTAAATAAATCAAAAGTACTCTATAGAAATATAAACTCCACATAATTTGGGTATATTAAAGCATCTATCAAAATCTTTTAAAATATTAATGATAAAATCCATCCAACTCTAGCTAAAATTAAAACAACTTATAAATTTATTATAATCCATAAACTTTAAACAATCTATCAAAATATTTTAAAATTTAAATTGAATTCACCTTCTTATTACGGAGTAATTGTTTGCAAACACTTTGGGTTCAATTAAACAATTTGGCTTAGACCGGAACTCGGAAGTCTTTTGCCCTAACCTAACCTCAGGTGAAGTTACTGCTCTGCCCCCAATTAGTATGTACCTGCCGCCTGAGCATCGGGGTAGAAGGCGTCCTAAAGCTTTTGATTATAAAAACTGAAATACTTGCCCGAAGCAGAACAGAACAACCCGAAGTCGATCCCCGTCGTGGTCGGGATTCGGGAACAGAGCCACGCGCCGCCGCAGCGCCACCTCCCAAAACCGATAATCCATCAAACGAAAGGCGAAATGGAGAAATTGCCAGCTTGATCATACAGGTTTCCTCTATGGCGGCATCTTCTCCTTCCCTAAACAACTCCATCGCGGATCCCTCCGCCGCCGGGGTCCCCTCCCCTTCTAACATTAACTCAACGAAGAATCTCCGAGGGCTTAATAAGCCTAAGTGCATCAAGTGCGGCAACGTCGCTCGGTCTAGGTAAGATCTCTGTCATTTATGCTTGGTTGATGGGGACTTCAAATTGAAATTTTGTGTTCCTGTTTTTGTTTTGTTTATATCTTTGTGCTACATTTTGTGTCCATAAAAGATCTTAGAAAGAGGTCACATACACAATTAACGGCTCAGTCTTAGGTTTTAGTGCAATTGGGGGCTTCTAACTAAAGTCTTAGTTTTTGTTTTGCACCGTACTTGAATACGGAGTACTTTTTATATGCTCTGCCTTTTTCCCATTCAATAAGTTAGGGTTAGATAGAAAGGAAAAGATTGTATCATTAGGCTTCATTAGGTTTTCATTCTCGTACTGGCCGTACTGCATTTACATATAGGATAGTTAAGTAGAGTATGAAGGCAAAAGATCAAATAATGATAATTTGGGTCACTACATTCAGCATCCAGAATTGCTGAGGCGGCCAATTTTGAATCTTCAGTTCCTATCTGCTACACCGCTTGCTTTGGTGATTGAGTTTGTAGTGCAAACTTGAAACTTTGAACCTAACATTTGATTGGTTTTAAGTTATGAAATGTGGCGTTATATTTTAGTGTCTGAGTAACCCTCTAAATATGTCTTGCAAAGCATACAAGGATAGTACAAGCATGGTCCCTTATCTGTAATGGCTAGGAAGTTCCAACTTTATTTCATGGGCACGTACCCCATGAAAGTTTAAATAATCCTAGAATTGGTTGGAGTCCAACTGAGGAGCAAAAGAACAGTGATTAGAAGTTAATGCTAGGCAACCTAATATTGTCTACTTGCAACATTATAGATGTATTGTTTTTGGGTTTGGTTGTGTTTACAACTCCAAAATGTGATGCTGCTACTCAAATACAATATCATTAAAATTTCTTCATGAAAGAGAAAAAATTCATAAAAGTAAAGCAATACCATGGCTGTATGTGTGCGCGCACGTTTGATTGGAAACACACATATCCAAAATTGGTATCTTTTCCATATTTTAGTTTGATAGTGTTAAAATTTAAAGATGCTGCAAAAAAGTATCAGCCAATTTTCTGCATGAATAGGAAAAAAAACTTAAATTGAAATACTATCATGATTGTGTGTCTATGCCCATGAGAGGTTATTTCATATTCTTTCAGTTTAATTCAATTATAGTAAATGCAATCTATATCTCTAAATTCAGAAATGATACTAAAAGTTTTGTTAAAAAATGTGTTAACTTTCAAAACAATAAAAAATTGATAAAGAAATTCACAAGAAAAGAAAAGCTAGCTGGACCAGAAAATATTTTACATGACGGGTGGAGTGAGATTGAGAGCATACTACTTTCACTTCGAATATCCAAAGCTAGGTGTACCAAGAAGAGTTTTTTTTAGTTCCACCTTTAATTTCATAATATCTCAATTCATAAATTAATGGTTTTGCACCAAATAGTTTCTGTTCAAATTATGTTTATATAATTTAGTGCCAAAGAGTACGGATATTTTAAGTCTTTTAATTCCATAGTCATCCTAAGATTTTACATATGATAGATGCACCAAACGCCGGCCAGGCCTTTTAAGGATAACACTTGTTATTGTAGTAAAGAAAACGTGCTCACAAGGGAAGGATAAGTAGAGCTGTAGAGATATATAGTCAGCACCAGTCAAAATTGTTCAGGGTTACTTTATAGAATCATCTACCCATCTAAGGTATATGCCAGGTGTAGCAGATATAACTGACAAATGACAATTGCCGGAGATACTTTGATTTTTTTTAAAATATTTGTTTCAGTGCTGAATTGATATGGTTTACTTAGGACCGTCATCCTTAATTATGTGTTCCATTCGGCCTTCCTTAGTTATTTAGAGCAATCCAGCAGACTACTCACTTCCTCTTCTGCAGATGTCATTGTTATGGTTATTGTTACTGCCAGTGTAAATTGGAATCACTTCCTGCTAATGTTATCCATTATTCATATACTCTCTCCCTCCCAATTTCGATTACAATCTTTTTTTCTCTCACCTGTCGATAACTTTTGTTTATTTGTGTATTTTCATTGATTATTTGAGAAAATAAAGTATTCTTGTCACCTCTTATTTTGTATAATTTTTGATGTAGTTTTTCAATATGTAATTTTTATTTTTTATTGGTAACAATTTGTAAATAAAATGATTTCAAAAGATATGTGGTTTTACTTCGTAAATCCCAATTTGTAATCAAATTTGGGACAGAGGGAGTATTTATTTGGGGCTGAAGGTTCATGCCTATGTCTCTTTTATTTACAATTCATAATATATTTTCTGTTGTGACTATTGAGAAATAGTTTTGAGTTCCATTAGTTGTTAATATCAAAGACTCCTATTTGTGTTTCTAGGAAGTTATTAGACAGTGTTATAATATTGTCATAATCTCACATGTTTTCCTTGATTGGAATAAAAATGCATAATAGATTTCGTCAGAAGTCTAATTCCATATATGAGAAATGACATTTTCAATTTGCAAATGCAACATACTATCTTGTTGAATCAACTTGTTGTTTGCATGAGTTGTCCTTGGCCAGTGAAATATAACTACAATTTTGATTCCATCTTTATGATCATCCAAATTTAAATGTGCAGGTGCCCATTCCAGTCTTGCAAAAGCTGCTGTGCAAAAGCTTTGAATCCCTGTCATATACATGGTTTGCAACACACTTCCCTTTAAGAATGCTCATTAATAAATTTTTTGGGTACATTTTTAGAAGATCGATTTTCATTAGTTCTCTATGTGGTTGTCATTTGAAATGCAAATATTGACACTGGAATACTTGTGAATCTGAAGCTCTCTAATCTGATGTCACATATATAATTTTTGGGCCTGGGTATATGTCGTGGTTATCATGCTTAAACTTTCTCTGTCCCATAATTTGTTCTTGTTTGCTTTTCAGTCTCCAGTGATGATTAAGCAGAAATCTGTATTATACTTATATGATATCGCAAAACTACATTTAAAAATAAATCTAATGAAATTAACTTTACATTATATTTCAATGTATTTACGCAAATTGTGCTCAAAGTTTATCAGTTTTGACTCCAAAAGTCATAGTACGAACAGAATTATGGGATGGAGGGAGTATGTTCAAGAATGTAGCTTATGTTTTGGAACCTCAAGCTGAAACCTTTCAATTTGCTGAATAAAGTTATGGAAAAGAAATCTTTCAGAATATGCATGTAATTGACCTCAAAATGAAATCTGAGTATGGCTCTACACTTCAATGATTGTAGATCGTGGTTGGATGGCTCTTTTTTTTCAACCCAACAGTTATGAATTTTAAGTTCATTATTAAAATATAGCTATAGAAAATTTAATTTTCTCCCTCTTCCATCGAGCTAGAAAAAAAAGAGAGGCTGGAAGAAATTGAAGTGACACATGATACAAGCTGCTTGGAAGGAAAAATCCTTTCCTAGAGTTCAACCTTGAAAGTAATTTCTCGCTGTGTAGTTGTATTAGTGGCTTGGGTGGGTGAATGGAATAGTGGATAATGCGTTGATAAACTTGATATAAGGGAATATCAATTTTGCTTTATAAGTGGTTATTATTGCTCTGAAAGGCTTCTTGGTTTTTAATCAGTGCAGCACTGAGATCTGCAATTCTGGTTATCAGATCAGTTTTCTGACTAAAAAATTTCAAACAATTCTTTTTTTTGGGCTTCAATGTTGTCTAACGCTTCCTCTGACCTTGTTATTGGTCTTACTTTTTATTTTAGTCTATTGCTATCCCAAGTTAATGTTAACTTTCCTAGTTTAGACATCACTAGTTTTGCCATTTTCTCAATCTGCCATTAGACCCCTTCGATTTCTCTTATTATTTTGTAAGGATGTGACGCTATTTTTGACCCACTTGAGGGACAATTACGGAAAGTAACCACCGTGCATTTAGAATTTTTTCATTGAAAAGCTTGCTGAAAGCAAATGTGCCATATAGTTTGGGACAAAGTATCTTTTTGTTCCACATTTCTTTGTTGTGTCTGACTATTTTTTCATGATTGTGAATAAATGCAGTTCTTAAAGGTCAATCAAATCTTCCAGATAAAGCACCATCTTTTGGCTCTCCTGCAGTAGACCCACAATCCACTGATACTTCTCACCCTGGGTAAGTTGTGCATATAGGTCCTTATTGTAAATTATACCCACACATTTATATACTCCGTATTTATATATAGGTCCCAATTATTTATTCATTCAGACTAATTTGTAACTTTTTGAATTATACTTATCACTTTATGACGAGAAAGACTTCCAAATCTCAAACACCATGTAGAATTGCTTCACAAGTCATTTCCATCTAGTATGTTGCTGAAATGTTAGAAATAGATGTCGTTTATTAGCACTTCATTCATGAGAATTCACTTGGTTGGGTTGTTGGTGTCAGGATTTGTTAATATGATATTCTATCCATTATAATATGATCATATGCAGTCATTGGTTTCGATTATCTTAGTAGGGCAATGTTTTAGATAATTCTGCTTTCAAACCTTTCTTTTTTGGGTTTTACCACTGTGTCAAAGCTGCACTAAGAATTTCTCACATTTCATTATGGTATCAGATGCCATTATTACTTGGTAACAATATTTTCATTAGGAGATGTGCCTTATGTCGTTTGAATTTTATCCAACTCAGGGCTTCTCACAGACCTGCTTCATTTCGCCAGCTTTCGACAAATTTTGCTCAGTTCAATAATTTGCAAACACCACTCAAGTCAAGGAAGCCAATAACGAGAAAGGTGTTTATAAATGCCACAAGTAAAAATCAAATTGTTAATTGCCAGAGACAGTTAACCCCATCCATGAATCGTTTTCCAGGATGCACAAGTTATAAATGAGTGGAGATTTTCGAAGTTGAAGGAGTTCAGGGACAACAACATTGAGGTTGAAAACGAGGCCTTCGACCGCTACATGCAAAACGTATGTTTGTTAGAGGAAGTGTTTGGAGTGGATTCTTCACAGGACAGGCAACAAAACCATGACGGCTCTTCCTCAGAAAACCCAAAACCAAATCCCGAAGGGGAAGCAATGGTATCAAGGTTTAAGCTGCAGCTTAAATCAAATCCCGTAAGAATTGAGAATTCCAGGAAGAGGATGCAATCCATTGTCGAAAAGGGGCTACAAAAGCTCAGGAAGTTGGAGTCTGGCGAAGCCACCGACAAAGAAGATATCCCCCAAAACCCAGAGACCAATAATAACAAGTCTCCGAATGCCGAGTGGACTTTGGCCATGACCGATCTAACGGACAGGCTAAACAAAGCTCGAAATGAGGAAGATTTGAAAGCTTGTTGGGCAATGAAAACGAGACTATTTAACAGACGCATTGAGGCGGAGAAGCCGCGAGAGTCCGGTGATTGCCGCGAAGAAGCATCCTCCTCCTCCTCCATGGAGCCAACTCCAGAAACTATTGGCTCTCCTCTAAAAGAAATTGCCAGGTATTCTCCACCTAAATGGTTTAGCATAACCACCATTGGTCAAGAGGAGTTGTCCGAGCTTAGCACACAATTCGATTCACTTGAGGAAATCGAAGAGTTGTAACTAAGGACCATTCCTGTAATTGATTTATGGGGGCGATCAATTTTTTTTTTGAGTACTATTATTTGGGGCAAGGGATTTTAGGTGGAAGGAAATGTGTAGGCTTGAATTTGGTAAATCTTATTAATATATGTATGGACGTCATTTTTTTTAAAAGAAAGCCAAAGTCTCCTTTTATGGCAAATCAGAGTTTAGAGCATCAATGGAAAATGGAGACTAGCCAAAAAAAAGAAATCGATTATCCGTACTGAATGATCCGAAACTAAAATCGAAATGATTCAAGTAGTGAATATCCGAACTACAATTGAAGAATTGAAATGATCTGAATCAAATACAAATAGAATTAAATATACCCCCATACATGTTCTAGATCCGAAATTGATTAGATCTGAACTAATAAGACCCAAAATTGATACGGAGTAATACTCGAAATCAATAATATCTGAAATTGATTATACCCGAGATTGATAACACATTAAAATAATATTTAGCATATCATTCCGCAAAACTTATTGGCAAACCTAAAGAAGGGGGGAAAGGAAAATGCTGAATTGGGAAACGAAATAGGAAGTCAAAAGTTCAGAACTAAAATATTGAACGGGAAAAACTGAAAAGGAAAAAGAGAAATAAACCTCAAGAAAAGAACATTAAAGTTCTTTTGACAAGTTTGTAGTCGTCCCAGTCCTAATCTCGGTTTATAAAAATAGATCGAAGCTCCCATTGACACCATATTGTCCTACTTTATCTTTCATCTTGAGAAAAGGACAATTCAGAACGGTTTGAGATGTCCCAATTCAATTTTTTTTATAAAACATAAACATAAAATTAATAATATGTTAGGCCTAAAAACTACTTTGAAAATTTTATACAAACATTATGAATAAATTATCATATTAAAGTGAAATAAAGACATAAAAACAATAAAAATAACATTTTGGTTTACAATTTTTATGAAATTAAATAAAAAAGTAATGTTAGTGAAAGAATACTTAGGTTTGTACATAAATACATGGGAAAACGGGAGGGAACAAGATACTTTTTATTTGTCCTGATCCAGTTCAATTTTAAATTGGTCCGGGATAGGTACGGGACAAAATGTTTTCATTCTGAATGAAACGGTACATTATACATTGAGCTCAGAATTCTTGTATACTACTATAATAATAATAATAATAATAATAATAATAATAATAATAATAATAATAATAATAATAATAATAATAATGTCGGAAAATTGGCAGCGTTATGTGTTCGGTATACGAAGAACATGAAGAACGACTTGATAGACTTAACGAATTACATGTATACACTTTTGAATTAATGTTATTTCAGGGTATACCAAAATACTTCAATCGGTAAGTAATCTAGAACAAGTATGGAATTTCCAGTCGTATCACGAAACATACCAAGGTGTCATATTTATAGGTAAATTCCGAACGAAAGCGTTGGTTGATGAAATAACTAATTTTTGAGTAAAATTCGAATTATGGGGTTTAAAGTTCTCGTCTATTCTAAGTAAATCCCAATTATATAAAATAAGTGATGACACTAAAATTACCAACAAATAATAGTAAACATACAAATATTGAAAGTCATATTTTTATATTTAAAGTAATTGGTATGCTTTTTAGTGATAGTAATGTACTTCTCTCTATTTATTTCATCAACCTCTCAAATTTTTTTATTCATTAAAGTATTCCATTTTCTTTCAACTCATTCAATTTTTTTCTAGTTTTCTCAATTATTTCTAACTTTTTATTAATAGTTCTAAATATTTTAAACTCAATTCAATTCTTTTAACTCTTTCAACGTTCAAATCCCCACTAAAATAGAAGGTTCATGTAAGAACAACACCAACTTTGACACACACAAATACTCCCTCCATCCATAAATAAACTTCCCGTTGCATATTACGATGTTTGACTGAAGTTATTTTCAAATTATTTTGTAAGAAAAATTGTGTAAAAAATTTAAAAATAAAAATTACATATTAAAAAACTATATCAAAAGATCTACAAAACTAGAGATGACATGACTACATTATTTTATCAAATTGGTGACGAAAATAGGCCAACAAAGTGAATAAAGTTTGACCCTATGAATAGTGAACCAGAAGTTTATTTGTTGACGGAGGGAGTAATAAATGGGTAATTTACACAAATGAGACTAAGGCCGTGTTTGAAAAACAGCTTTTCGGATAGCTTTTGACATCTTTGACTGACTTTGGCTTTTTTGACTAAACGAACAACCAAAACCATTGTTTGGCTAATGACTTTTTCACTTGGCATTTTGATCCAAAAAGCCAAAATCTAAAATGCCAATGGGAGTAGCATTTGGAGTTGGATGTTAGGAAAATTAATTTTTTCAAAATCATTTTTCTTGAAAGATATTTTATAATATATGTAAAAAATAAAACTAAAAATAAAAGTTAAAAAAATTAAATACTAATACACACACACACACACACACACACACACACACACACACACACACACACACATATATATATGAAGGAAAAACTATTTTCAAATAGCTAATTCTACCAAACATTTTTAACGTTTAACCAATTCATCCTGCCGGTCAAACCAACTAAACTAAACAGCCATTTGCAGCAGCTGGCACGAATTGCCTACAGCCAACAGCTGACAGCTAACATTCAAACAAGTCATTATTAAAAACATTATGCAATACTTGTGGTTAATGATTAAAAACATCTTGCATAGTCATTGAAATAATCAATCATTATGCAATACTTGTGGTTAATGATTACATTCGTAAAGTCATTCGTATAATCAGTGATTATCAAATACGTGTTGCTAATGAGGGCATTTATAATAAATGATTTGGAAATATATATACTATAAATGGAATAAAACATACTTAGTCATATTCAGGGAAACGTACTACTTTTTAGTCCTAAATTTTTCATAATAAATATCTATAAATTTGTAAATGCAAGAAGTAATCACATGTGATAGAATTTAAGATGGGAAAAAAATGATTAGATTGAGCCATAATATATTTGAGTTGAATCAAATTAAAAGATTGAATCCAATAAACATACTCCCTCTGTCCGCCATATATCTTCTTAGATACTATTCACGGGGTCAAACTTAACTTAGTTTGTTAGTCTATTTTTACTAGTTATTTCATAAAATAATATACTCTTGTCACCACTAAGCTAGTTTTGTAAAACTTGTCATGTAATTTATCACTATATAAATTTTATATTAGAATTTTACCTCTATAATCAAATAAATTAAATTGAAAATAAAGTTGGTCAAACCTCTTAGATGGACAAAGGGAATATTATTTATTTCAGCTCAAAAAATTATATACCAATTATTTCCTTTTTACTTTTTCCAATGTAGAAAACTCTTTACCAATGTCACCTAACAAGTTTGTACATGCAAGATATTATATGTGTGCAAATTTACAAATCTTTGACTATACTCGTACAATCATTCCTATAATCAGTTATTATTCAACATTTATTCCTAATGACATATATGGCTGATCATATGGAAGTATTTATACCATAAGGAGAATAAAACATATTTAGTCATATTCAGGAGAACGTATTACCTTTTACTCCCAATTTTTTCATAACAAATATTTATAAATTTGTACATGCAAGATGTAATCACATGTGATAGAATTTAAGATGGTAAAAGAATGACTAGATTGAGTCATAATATACTTGAGTTGAATCAAATTAAAAGATTAAATCTAATAAATATATTATTTATTTCAACTCTGTAGTATACTTGAGTTGAATCAAATTAAAAAATTGAATCCAATAAATATATTATTTATTTCAATTCAAAAGTATGTATGCCAATTATTTTCTTTTTAGTTTTTCCCATGTAGAAAACTCTTTAACAATGTCAGCTAACAAGTTTGTTCATGCAAGATGTTATATGTGTGCAAATTTACAAATCTTTGTAAAAAGTGTTGGGGTGTGATTAAAGTAATTTTCAAACAAAAAAAAAATCGAAACCAAAAGCCCTCAACGGGGAGTAATACTCCGTGTGCGAATGGGAATGGGGGCCCGCCCAAGTGGGGAGCAGGTTTGATTCAAGTCAATTAAACGACAAAACGTGGGGGGGCCACACTAACACCAACCCATTGGTCTTTGGGAGTGACGCGTACGCTTTTTCTGAAAACGTGGTGCTTCACGCTCTGCATGGCCTCCACGTACTAAGCATCCGTTCACGTCACGCTTGGAGCGTGATTACACGTGCCGCTCTTTTGCTTTTTTTCACAATTTCTTTCTTTTTATTTTTAACGTAAGAAGAAATAATTGCGTCCTCGGACCGATGAGAGAGCGGCTGTAAATCCTGTAATACTCTTCCCGTCCCTAATACATTGTTTGGATAAAAAGAGAAAATGGGTGGAAAGAAAATGAAGAGAAAATGGAAAGAAAATAAATGTTATTTGGATAGGTAGAAAATAGAGAGAAAAAGTAAAAGGAAAGAAAATTTATTAAAATAAAAAGATAATTTTACCCTTATTCTATATGGAAAGTGAACATAGTAGAGGGTAAAAATGTCATTTCCAAACTTTTCTCTCCCCTTGGCCAATTTTCTCGCCCCTAGAGGGGAGAAAACTTTTCACCTTTCCCTTTCCATTCTCTCCCCATTTTCTCCTGCAAACAAACAGAAGAAAGTTTTTTGGGAATTGTGTTTTCCTCCCAAATATTTTCTTTCACTCTAATTTCACCTCATCCAAACACAAGCTAAATGTTCATTACATTTTCAAAAACGAAGTAAAATATCAAGTTATTTTAGTTTATTTTACTTAAATATCGGTATAAAAATAAAATTAACATATTTAAAAATAGGTGCTAAAAAATTTTATTTTATAAATAATTAATAAAAACATACAAAAAAAATAAAAGTTATGGAAATTGTTGAAAAAGAGATGTGACAAACCTTTTAGCGCAGAACAAGGTAGTTTAATTTCCCAGGGGAGTTTGACGTTTGAAGCATGGGGACCGTCGCCGTGATGTCATTTCACGATTTTTAAAGCCCAATTACTTACTCCCATGCTCTTTTCACCCTTTCCTCGACGTTGTATGGCTCTGAATTCGAAGTGAAGTATAGATGTACTCCGTAATACACTAATTTGAAAATAAATGGATTG